GAGAAGACGACAAAACTCAACGTGTGGGTTCTAAGGTTTATATTTGGGAATTTTTTGCTAGTTTTCTTTGATGTTTTGATTGAGTATTCAACTCATGGTTTAAAGAATATACATCAAAGGATTATTTGTTTGTTCTACATAAAAGAGAGAGTTATTCTTCGGTGGATTCTGAAGAATTCGAGCATGAAGCTTTGGTGGATTCTGGAGTGGCTCATCGTCAAGATAATTCCGAGGTGAAGACGGGGTTGGAAGAGACACATAGAGGTTGGTTCAATTCGGGCGTGGATTCGCTAGGTAATTGAGAGTATACCTGTGTAATTCCTTTATATCTTCTTAGTGGATTGTTTTGTGACTGTTACCCGTGATTTTTTATCACAATTGGAGGTGTCCAATTGTGATTTTTTCACGTAAAATCGTTGTGTCGATTTGTCTTGATTGTTTCATTGGAATTGTTAAAATTGATGTATAATCACAAATCAACATTTAGGGAATTTCTAGATTTTTCAAATATGAAAAATCGTCCTTACGATCTCTGACTGGAAGAAAACAGAGTTTCAAAAACGCAACAATGAAAGAAATAGAGCTTCAAAACCACAACAATGAAAGAAAATAGAGTTTCAAAACCGCAACAACAAAAGAAAATAGAGTTTCAAACCGTAACAATGGAAGAAGATAGTATTCTTTTATTTTCTCACCACTAACGTGTGAACAAAATCCTACAAAACATATAATGAAAACGTATCAACTAATTCCTCCAAAACTGCCAAAATAGAAATAAAAAAATATGAAAAACATACATATCTTATTGTGTGTAATATATATTATCAAAATAGAACAAAAGGGTATTATAGTCTAAAAAAATTATAAATTAAGAACCAAATGACCTTCTAGATAGAAGTCTAAATATATGAGACTTTGTGGAATACTATAAAATTTTATGAACTTATTACTAAATGGAATTTATTATAAATATCTCTCAAATATACTTATTTTTAATTATGCCTTTTCTAATTCCCAACAAAAATAATTCAAACCCAGTTTTGTGGAATTTATCAATCCCAAATTCTTAAAAAAACAAATCAATAGAAAACAAAATAACAAAAAAAAAAGAAAAAGGATTAGGTTGAATGGGTAATGATGGAACCGGTGCCCAACTCTAATTTGAGTTTCAAACCAATTATTATAAAAGCAATTAACGCTACACTCTCAATTTTTTTCTTTCTAAACCCCTCAAGTGACGGGATGGGGAAATTTGGCTATAAACTTTATTTACTTACTTTTCATTGTTAAAAAGATTAAGAAATTTTTTTTTTATTTTAAGCCCCTCATAATTATAAAATTTTACATAAAGGACAAAATTTATTATTTAAATATTTTATCAGACTATTGTACCCTCAACTAAATCTTCCCACCTTCTCCACCCACTCTCTTCCCACCTTCTCTGTCTCTTTTCTCCCCCTCTAAACACAGTTTTTCTTCATAGCCATGTTAGAGACCACCTCAACCGTCGGAGTACCGTCCGCCAATGTATTCCGGCCACCAACCGCCAGGATTCCTGGCGCCACCCCCTCCTCAACATCCAATGCCAATCAAGCCTTCCATTTCTCTTCTAGAAATCCTAGAATTGAAGAAATCAGAGACTTCATGCACCTCTACCGCAATGATTTCGCATCATCGTCTCCCGAACTTCCTGTAAATCTTAGTCTCTTTTTTGTTCTTCAAATTCTAAATCGTTCAAATTTCGTTCTTGATCTACATCGAGTTGCTTGAAAAGTTTGATGCTGTATGGAAGCACTTGATTGGGGTTTTTAGTGTTAGAAATTGTTCCACTTTGGTTGAAATGCAGTAACTTTGGAAAATAATTTGTTCATATTAACCATTTGTCTTGTTGCCAATAAAACTGAGGAAAAAGAGAAGGCAATAAAACTTAGATCAAACTTTGTCAGTTAGATTTTTGTATTGAATTAATGTTTAAGGCTAAAAAACTTAAATTAGTTACGATTTCTTAGCAAATAAGTAAAGCATAATTGCCTTCACTCTGAAATTTTACACTGAATTAGAGTAAAATTTACTATAATTCAAAATAAAATTTTACTCTGAAATTTTACTCTAGTTAAAAACATGTTAATTTGCTTAACGATATAAAATTTTACTTTGAATCATAGTAAACTTTACTCTGATTCAGAGTAAAATCTGAATCAGCGTAAAGTTTACTATGATTCAAAGTAAAATTTTACTCTGTTTAAAAACGTATTGATTTGCTTAACAATATAAAATTTTATATTGAATCATAGTAAACTTTACTCTGATTCAGAGTAAATTTTTACTTTGAAATACACTGTGAATATGGCTTAATAAGAAAGCTGATAGATATGAGGGTAATATAGTAAAAGAAATAAGTGTTAAAATATTAGGAAGTTTTGAAAGTACCTATATAATTCTGTCATTTTGAAAGACAAATTAGACAGTGAGGGATCTATCACCAAATCCCCCTTAATAATTAATCTTTCGAATTAAAAATTATACACTTACATGTATATTTTAAATGACCTCTTGTCACCAAATTTTGCTTTTAACACCCTAAATGTTAGCTTGAGCCTATTTTACCAAAATTTTGAATTCCTAACCCACCCCATTAAAATTTTGCAGTGTCCAATTTTTGGAATAGAAGTAGAACACTCAGAAGGATCAAACTCAATAGAATTATGAAGCAGGTGATATTCTAAGACTAGAAGAAGTCACTTCAAATAATATTGCAACAAACTTTTTGGTATCCAATTACCTGCCCTTCAATTTTTGTACACCAAAACAAAGTGACTATTCCAACGTTCAGTTTCACCACCCTAATCCTTTTCAAGACAGGTAAGATATATATCCAAACAACTATTTTTTATTTGAAAGTTTATTTGCAAATTTATTGAGATTTTCTATGGTGCTTGAATAAAATTTTCTTGACGTTGTATTTAGATCATAAATTTAAAATTTGTGTTTAAATCATAAATTTGAAAAGAAAAAAAAAAAATTACCATTCACATTCACCTTTCCATTTGCCTTTATTTTATTTTTTTTCCCTTTCAAATTCTTATTCAAATCCATGATGATCCAAACGCAATCCAAATATAATGGTTGACTCATGTTTCAAAAATTCAGAAAAAAGAAAAGAAAAAAAATCTTAAAACTGTTACCCAAAAACTGCAGTGTTTTCAAAAACTTTTCTCGAAAACTGTTTTCAGAAACAATTTAAACAAGTTTTGTGTATCAGTAGCCATTTCATTTCTTCAGTTTCTGAGAACACAACATTCGTTGAAAATGATTGACTGGTTCGCAGGTTAGAAATGGTTTCCATCAAATAGGAGTTACCATTGTTCTTCCAATCTATAATCTATTTCTTTTCAGTTCTACAAGAAATCAGTATCATTGTATACATCTCATGACAGCTCATAACATTAACACACCCTCCCCCCCGGCGCCACCCAAAAAAAAAAATAATTCAAAAAGCCAGTAGGATTACCATATAAGACCCGGCTAAGCTTCACAATGCTCTCGCGTTTCTCCCACTTTTTCTGCTCACCGCCTCACACAACCGACACGGTAACGTGTCTAAGCTCGCTGCACGGGCCTTTCCATAATTACCCAAAACACCGCACCGTCTCCACGCATGGTATTCCGCATAAGCTACAGGGTCGTTAGCAAGTGCCTTTATATAAGTAGCTAGTGCTTCCATGGAGCTGAATTTAGTCCCATCTATTATTGAATGTGGAGGGACAAAGTCCCAGACATTTGGGGCACCAAAATAGATTGGGACTGCTCCAGAATCGAGGGCATAAAATAATTTCTCCGTCACGTAACTCTCTGTCACAGTGTTTTCGATTGCGAGGACAAACTTGTAGTGTGACATGGCGCAATGTAAATGGTCCCACCATTTAGGGGCTGAGTTAACGTCTTTGACACACTCGGGGTAGAGAGTAAGTGCCATGTCTAGGCCCCCGACATTGTTCAAGCACTTTCCAAATGAGTGGTAAGGTAGCAACCGGAGGAGACTTTTGGCAAGCTGGTTTCTTTGAGCAAGGCACCGTGACGAGGACCAATAAACAAGCGTGTCCTGAAATTAATTCCAGTATTAATAACCAAATCCGATTTTCAATTTATAAGCATATTATTGTAATCAAAAGGAAATTTAGAGTTTGGTTAATTTTCAAATATGTTTTCTGCAAAAAAATTCAAAAACTAGTTTGGTGAAAAAATTCAAAAATAAAAAAGCACTAATTATTTTCATATAGTTTTCTCATTTTTGGGGCGGAATAATTTTTGAAAATTAAAAAATATCTTTTTTGGGTATATATTTTTGTCAAATTTGTTCAAAAAACAAGTTGTGAAAACTCAACCAAATAGAGATGACCAACAATGGGTATACTTACATTGTGCTTATATGAGGACAAATGATAATTTCGATTATTATGAAATAGTGCACCAGCATAAGTTGACTGAACATCGTCTTTGGCATGATAACTAATAAAAATATCCTCAAAACCCGATCGCTTTCTGCCAGCTTCAAGATCCATGTACACACGAAGGGGATCTCCATTGTGTCTCTAGCAAACAAAAGAACACAAAACAGTATGGGAAGCTAGAAAAGGAAAGCAACACGACACAAAATAGGAGGTTCCAGGGTTGGACAATAGTGCGTTCGGTTGACAAGAAGAATGAGCGTTGACATAAAACCACATCCCAGATGGACAAACAAGGAAATATAGCATTCGCAGTACAGAAATAGGAACAGCGGAAGATGAGTTGAAAATTTTAACATCAAAGGCAATATCACCAAGGAGAAATATGGCACGGTACTATGTAAGCGAACATGGCATGATTTAATAAAGCTTTGTTTTGCATAGTGTGAGTAAATAATGATGTCATTAATTAACTTGTTCTCCATCAAGTGTTGAATATGTGTACCTAATACAATAAAAGCTAGTAGGATGTACTTATGAATTTGGATGGTCCAATGGTGACTTCTAATGGCATTCGAAGTGAAAATTTATAGCCTAAAATGGGGTGTAAAAAACATGTTAGATTTCTCAACATTTCTTGGTATCTGGGTCATTCTTAGGTTTTCTAAAATTGACAAATCTCAAAACTTTTAACATTATTTTGAGATGATTGCAATTCTTGACATGTTTCCACTTAAAATGATAAATTTCTACATTGAAATGCCATGTGAAGATGAATGGGGTCATTCAAATTCGAGGGACTCCAAACACACCCTAAGTAAGTTAACATTTTACATTGCAACAAAATAATAATAATAATAATAACAATAATAAATAAATAAATAAATAAATAAAGAAGATGAAATAGAAAGATTTTTCTGCTGCAGTCTGCTGGACAAATTAAGCAGCCTGTCACCAAATTGGAATATTGGATTGTCTAGGTAAATAATAATAATAATAATAATAATAATAAATAAATAAAGAAGATGAAAAAGAAAGATTTTTCTGCTGCAGTCTGCTGGACAAATTAAGCAGCCTGTCACCAAATTGGAATATTGGATTGTCTAGGTAAGAGTTCACCTTCAAGACCACTCCTCCCACATGGATTATCATAGATATCAATCATCTACTGATGTACTGCACCGTGTATCACCACATTATTATTCAGTATTGTGTATAAAAAGGAGTTTTCTTTTATTTATTTTCCCATTAAATCTTAAAAATAGATAGAACAAAAGAGGGAATGCATATGCAAAACCCAGGTGTGGCAATAATGAACTATTGATCAAATATACAAAATATTGTAACTCAAAGAGGCAAAGACATGCAATTGTTGAAATCCAATACATACATCAAAAAGAGCGAAGATAAATTAGTTAAATGTTTTTTTTAGAGAAAATTTTAGATATTTACATGAGCAAATCCAAATTCAAAGATCTTCAGTGTAAATGACTTTTTCTAGCTTAACCTCAAAGTATATAACTTCCAAATTATAGACAATGTGGTTAAGTTGCACAGAAAATGATTGATGACCCAAGAAAGAAGACAGTGCCGGGTTGGGTTATTGTGAAGAGAGATGTAAAATTAGCATTCTACCAAAAGTCCACTCTGATCAATGTCATTAACAAGACCCAATTTCTCAGCTTTATACGAGAATTAAGGATGTCAACTACAGTACAAGCACAAAATGAATGGAGGATTTTTATGTTTGAGACCTCTCCGTGCTTGGAAAGACCCCACTCATGATTTCAATAATCAAATTAGCAAACCTTGGTAGTGGAGTTTCAAACATGTAAACTTTGTCAATTTCTCACCAAAACCTTTCGTCATTAAGGAAATATAAAAAATTCTCCATTCAGTATGAACATGCAATTTTTTCAAGTTAGTTTTCACGAGGCTAGTTCCCTTCTAGGAGTCCTCATGTTCACTATCAAAATGGCCCATACCATATGTATCTCCCTCAGTTGCAGGACTCTCCTACTACAACAATCTGTGATTCAGAGCAAGAATCTGGTTAAAATTGTGTTCCCATTGAGAAAGAAACACATTTCAACTGGGATTAAATCTCTCAAACATATGGATCCCAAAGAAACAAAAGAAAAACTACCAAGCAAGAGAAAATCTATAATAGCCATTAAATCATTAGGAAAAAAACTAACTTAAATTTACTCAATTACTTTGAATTTATATTATATTTACAATAAACAAAACAAAACAAAAAACAAAAAGGAGTTGCCACTATTCTACAATGTTTATTCATATTTTAACATATATATTAAAACTAAGCATTAAAATATTTCTTACAATATAGTAATATTTATTTATATATATGTAACATATAAATGCTCCTATAGGCACTCCCAACCTTAGACTCTTCCACATGCCTTCACTCCCCTGCCCCTCTCCCGTCCCCTCCCCCGCTTCGCGCAACCAAGGTGTCTCCTACTCACAACAAGAAGGTGGCGAGAAACAATAGAAAGGGAATATAGAATTATAAGGTGCCCTAGAACTGGTGATAGGGCTAATAAGTCAAAGATCCTAAAGGCTGAAAGTAACTATTTCCCTCAGGCGGTCCCTCTCTCTCAAACACACATACACACATGCGCATATCTGGAAGTATATGGTGGCAAATATCTCACCAGCTGAAGTTATTGTTTGCAATGAACATCTCAGCCACAAAGTCACGCTACAAGCCTCAAATATGTTCTGAAACTCCAGTTTGTTATACAGATTACATAGCAACAAGATCAATAGGAATGGGAACACATTCCAAATCAGAACAAATGGTAGTCAACGCATATAACTGCATGTGGTTAGTGACTAAATTTCTGGAAAAGAGGTGTACTTGTATTTGCAAAGATCCTAAAACTAGAAAGAAGCTGAACAAACTTCTCACCAGGATTCCTTCATAAAACAAAACTGCATTAATGCTAAAGTGATTTAACACATTTCTGTAAATTAAAGAAAAGAAAATATCCATATACAATCTCACAATCTAGATCACAGAAAAGCAGACAAAACAAACTAATATATGGGTACCCATTAGCCAAAATCCACCATTATCATTGGCATATAGACATCTACGAAAGCTAATTTGAAAACACCCATCTACATATGCATCAACTTTGATCAATAGAGCAATTCCAAATCTCCAAATACATAAAATTTAAACAAAAAATACCTGAACTGGAGGTGTAGTAGTTTCAAACAACAAAGCATCAGGCTTATCATTAAGAACAGAAGATTTGGTCCACAAACAGCTCAAATCGCATCGGCACGAATACAAATTATCCAAATTATCAGGAATCCAAGTCCACCCTTTAACCAAAACACTCACATGACTCATTTTCAGTTCACTACACACACCATCATCTTCTTGCAGAGAAGATGAGGACCCATTTTTCATCAATCCTTTGTGTTTCTCTCTGAACTGAGAACAACCCACTTGAGGATCCCATTTCTTAAAGGCACCCAACAAGTCCCTAAATGGGTCTGGCGAAGATTTGGAGTACAATAAGGAGTCTTTCGCAGATGGGATTGAAGAAGAGACAGATGGGATTGAAGATGGGATTGAAGAAGAGACAGATGGGAATTCAAGAAAACCAGAGAAGAAGAGGATGAGAAGAGCAAAACCCAACATTAGTGTGATGGTTAAGGAGTTGAGGGATTTCAAAAGCATGGTGGGAAGGGAAAGGGATTGTGAAATTGGGTCTCCCCTCTTTCTCTCTTTTGGGTAGAGAGAGAGGGATTTGGCAGTGATCTGTTGTGTTTTACATCGTTTGTCGGATCGAAAACTAGGCGTAAATTTGCGAGGGGAAAAGAAACACAAACAAATTCAATGCTTAGTTTGTATGAATGAATCGTGCAATGCGCCGGCTGATTTTGACTAAGCGATGATTTTCTTGATGGAGAAACTCTTAAATTGAATCTACCAAGGAATTCTCCAATCCCAACTTTTTGTCAATGGGGTTAGGTGGTTTAACCGAATTTGCCAAGGCTTTACCCTAGGAGAAGCTCACAATATTTATGGAAAACCGCGTCCCTCAATTTGACATGGATATTGAGCGTGTGTTTGTGAAGCGAGTTTTTATGTAAATTTTTTTTAATTATAGGATATTATTAAATTTTTTATTTTTTATTTTTTAGATAGATAGTTAGATTTTTTTGTGATTGGATGTGATATTTGTGAGAGAAAAAATAAAATGATTATGGGGTTTGACGTGATATTTTGTTTGAATTTGTTTTTTTTTTTTTTTTTGTAACCAATTTGTTTTTTTCTTTTAGAAAAAAAAATCAAAAAAATCCAAAAAAAAAAAAAAAAATTATTGCCAAAAACCGTCTGAATTATTGAGGTGTGACATCTATTTATGAAATGAAATTGAATTATTAATATAAAATTTTAGATAATTTTTATATTTTTATATCTAAATTTATAGCATTATTGTAATATTTAGGAGCAATTTTAATTCAGTTAGAAGTTATTACTTTGTTTAGTTTCAATTTTTTAAAATTATTTTTAGATTGATTTTTGTTTGTTTTTGTTAAAATTTTATATATATATATATATATATTTACATTTTATATATATCAAGATTAGATGTATGTAAAAAGTAAATTTTTTTAACAAAATATGAATGAAAAAATACTAAAAACAAACAAAAATCTGAACAAAAATACACACAAATTTTAGTTAAAATTTTTATTTGTTTTTAGTGATTTTTAAAAAATATTTAAGTCAAAATATATATTTTTTACTTTTTAAATATTTGTTGATTAGGTATATCCAAAAATGACAAAAAAATTGACTAAAATATAAAGAAAAAAATTTATTAAAAAGAAAAGAAAATTCATTTACAAACAACTTTTTAGAAAAATCAAATCAAACAGATAAATTATTTTTTATTAGATATTTGATAAATTTTATAAATTTTAATAGTAAAATCTTAAAAAAATTCATAAATATGGTAATTATTATGTAAAATTCTATTAAATTGTAATTTTTCCAATTTGGTAACCATTCGGTTCAGTCCGTTTAGCCATTAGCAGATCTCCAATGTTTTTCAAATTTAAGTTGGAAGGAAATTTTGGTGAAATCAAATTCAATCAATCCATTAAATTTATAGGTCTACATTAAAAATTTCATCAAATAAAAATGTTTCCTTAACTTTTAACTATATTTTATTTTAAACCCTCGTTTGGCAAGTGTCCCTTTTAGTCAAAAAGTTAAAAAATTATTAAAAAAAACTAAAAAGCCAACAACTCATACAAAAAAATCAAAAATTTCATTTTCTTTTTATTTTTTGCACATCTTTTCGCAAAAAGTCAAAAAATTACTAAAAAAACTAAAAAACCAACAACTCTAAAAAGTCTAAGATTCCATTTTCTCTCTACTTTTTGCACATATTTTCGTAGAAAGTCAAAAAGTTATCTCAAACATACTAGTTTTTTTTTGCATCACATTTTAGTCAAAAAATCAAAAAATTACTAAAAAAACCTGTTCTTAAACGAGGTCTAATTGATGAAACTATCAAAAGATGAAGGATTTGATTTTTTTCACTTGAATAAGTTCTTAAGATATATCAGGTACTTTTAAAAATATTTGATAAAAAATTTGATTCTTACAATTACAGTGAGCTATATTAAATCAAAAATTTAGTCTAAAGGGTTAGAAACGCTTTTACGAGCCTCATTTTGATAATCTATTCTATTTATTTTATTTATTTTAAATTTTATAAATTTATAGTAAAAATTTCAATAGATTTTTTGACTAGTCTGACTAAAATTAGACTTTTGTAGTTATATCATGCCATTGGACTTAGGATGTTTTAGGAAGATGATTAAAAGTTATTTTTTTAATTTTTTTGTGAGAGAGGAAAGTGAGTTAAACGCTGAGAAGTGACTTTTAACCCACTTCCCAAAATACTCTAGCATACAATGCTTGCTATGCACACCTTTTTTTTTTTATATAAATAAAAAGTTAAATAAAATATTTTGATATATTATAATGAAACTCAAGTTTTAATTAAAAAATAATCAACCTTTTTACATTTTTAAATTGACCCACAAATGCTTTTCTTTCCCTGAAAAAGTTATTAATTAATTATTTGCCTACTTTACTCTTGTTTTATTAACATTTTAATCTAAAATAAAAATGACTAACTACACAAATTATCAAAAAAAATAAAATAATAATAATAATAACAATGTTAATGTTTTATAATGTTTTATGTTGGTACACTTAAAATAAAGTAGTACACTCTATCTCATGAGATTTAGAAATTATAATATTAATATTATAGTTTGTCAATTAGAGATGAATAAAGACTGCTTAAAGAGATTAGAGCTTGGCCAAACATTAAAGATGACTTAAAAGTCAGATCTTACTTACCTCTAGCCTTTAATTACTAGGCCCAAGTCCAGCCTTTGGAGAATGGCATTGGTTTATGCCCAATCCATGGGCCATTTGATCCAATTTTTTTTTTAAAAATGGTAATTACAAATATCTCTATTCCTCAATATTATATATATAATATTAATATATATTTTTTAGCCATTGTGAACCTTATCCAAGAAGCACATTTTAAAATAAAATATGAGTAATATCTGTTATATAAATATAAATGTATATATATGCCTAAAAAAATCAAAGGCCTAGTGAAGATTGTTCATGGGCCACACTTCTAGTCCACACCTAGCCCCACAAAGTGATGGGTTAATTTCCTGCAGGGCCCATCTTATGGGCTAATAAAATTTCCCAAACCTTCTCCATTTTTTGGGTTGAGCCAGTCGAGCATGTCCACATCTATTGTCGGTTGATATAGTGTGTGATAGTTAGAGGCTATCTATTTAACCATATTACCCTCAAAATAAAAATCAAATATGAAAAAGTGAGTGAGAAAGAATGGGTGGATGGTTAATTTTAGGTCTCGTTTGGGAATATGCTAATTTAGTAACTTTTTAGTTATTTGGCTAAAATATGAGCTAAAAAAAACTAGTATGTTTGAGATGACTTTTTGACTTTTTACGAAAAGATGTGCAAAAAGTAGAGAGAAAAAAGAATCTTTGACTTTTTGGTATGTGTTGTTGACTTTTTGGCTAATTTAATAACTTTTTGACTTTTTGACTAAAAGGAAGGGTTCCCAAACGAGGCCTTAATATTGAAAAAAACTAGTGTCCTTGTTCCAAACAAGTTAAATGTATTTTCAATGCTTGAATGACATTAAAAAATGTGGATATTTGGCCAATTTTTCCTTAAAAAGGAAATGTATTTGGACAAAAATGACTAGTGGTAAATGTTTTAGCTCTAGTTATATACCACACTATCATGATGCAAATTTCATGGTATAATTGATATTGTTCACTTTGCCAAAGAACATAATTGCTTCTTCATGGAAACAAAATTATAGATATATAGAGTTGCATATTAATAGAAAGATATATATTGTAGATTTTGTTAGATAATTGATTATCAACTCATTTAAAATGTTAAATTGTTAAAGTGATAAGTAATTTTATTATTTGTATTCTTAACACTGCTCTTTCATAAGCGGGCTAATCACATGCAATTATTTTCATTGTTAGGTTTAAATATTGTATGTTAAATTGTTAGATGGCCAATTTATTTAAAAACATAAATTGTTCAAATGAGGAGTTTATTATTTACATTCTCAACCGCATTTGAACAGGTAAACATTTGTTTACTGAATTCAAAATAATTTTCCAAAATGCAAAAAACCAAGACTTACATTGACAGATAAACCATGCCAAAAATTATAAAAAGCCAAAACATCTAAGATCTCTTGGCTAAAAAAGCAGTGGCCCTTTGGAAGGTAGACTCATCACATGGAAGAACAATCCTGTTGTGGTTATTATGAAAACCATACTCTTCTGCAGCCTTGTCTAGCGGTTGCTGAAAGATAGGGTTCTTTAAATAGGAAGTGGGAACTACAAATCTTTTCATTTCACTACCCACATACACCACAAAATGCCCCTTTGGAGCCCTTTTCTTGCTGCTTCCTTCAAGTAATTCAACCTCTACTACTTTCTTAGGCATTTTACAGAATTAGCAACTCAGAAGAAGAAGCCAGTGAATTAGTGGGAGAGAGAGAGAGAGAGAGAGAGAGGCATGAAAGGGCATGTTGGAAGTGAAAGGGATGGACATGTGTGTATATATATAGTGCTCGAAAAGTGTGCACATTCAAAGAAAGATAAGGAGGTATGTAGAAGAAGATAGCGTAACGTGGACTAATCTCAACTACTTGCCTACATGCAAAAAATGCAAACAAACACATGCATATATAAATGTGGAGAGAGAGAGAGAGAGAGAGAGAGAGAGAGAGAATGCATCATTATTGAAGTTGCTAGGGTTTTGTGGTAGAGTGGGCTTGGGAGGCACATGGTGAACACTGCAACAAAACCTTCCCATTCAATACTATACTAGGCCTCTCTACAGAACATGCCAGCGGATGATGGAGATGTCATGTTGACTCAGCTAACCATTGTGTGTCACTTGATTGTACGGATGTCGTAAAGGATCTGCCTTCTCCACATTTGCAGAGAAGTACACCACTGTTGTTAGATTTGTGGATAGTCGCGGAACCAGAATTTTGACTTAGATGAGGTATTAGTGAATTGAAATCTTCATAAAAATCATAATTAAATTTAACTTAATTTTTATTTGATGATAGAAATAAAAAGTACTATAATTCAAATGTTATATTTAAATATAAGCTTGATTAATTGATCTTAATCATTTTTTATTTTTAATTTGATTTTATGTATGATGATCATATGATTTGAAAAATAATCACATGCTTTATAAAATATGAAAACAAAATTATATTAAGTTACACACACAAAAGAGATGTAAATAGGAACAAAAAAGAAAATGACACTGTTATATATCACTTATTTTTTTTTTTACAGTTTTGAATCATTGAATTACATTATAATATATTATTAGTTGTTGTTAATTGTGTAATAAGTATATCTAAATAAAAGAACTAATC